AATAGACTAAGTCTAATAATTAAATATTCTAATGGTTTAAAAAACCATTAGTTCAAAAGGCCAATACTAATTATAATTTATTTAATCATAAAATTTGAAATCTATTTAATATTTTTATAAAAAATAATCTCTTTAAGTTAAATTGCATCAGTAATACAAATTTTATGATAGCTACAATATATAAACCTATAGAATTTTCATTTATTATTATAGACGTATCAATTATAAATCCAAATTTTTATTAGTTTTATAAACAAATAAAGCCAAAATATATTTACTTTTTATTACAAATAAAATTTATTCCTTTTCTATTATAACAAAATTGTTACATGACATGCTTCAGATTTCGTTTTCAACTGGAGAAAGGTGATTTGTCATAGGGGTAAATTTCTTGCTACCACAATAATGTAAACAATCACGTGAATAAAATGATAAACCACCTATATACAAAAAAGAATAATTATCTCGTCTCGATGAAGGATTTATTTTCAAAACCGGTTTAAAAACACAACCAAATAATTAGATTTAATACTAACCCGTTGCAATCTATCGAACGAAATATAAATTTCCGGTAATTGTATAAAAAATAAAATAATAAATCAATTTATCAATTCTGGTCTGGATTACGTGCCGATTTGTCATATGTCGCACGTGTTTAAATCTTACTGATTTTTATTTACTTTATCAGAGAATGATATTCTGTAAATCGTTATTTTTCATGGATAAAACAAGTTAGGTTAAGATTATTTGTTGTCGTTATAATGAGCTTGTTTTCTGATTTTGAAAGTGGGCTGATATCTCATCAGCCCATTTTTCAATCATCAAACAGGTTAAAAACCGGTTATGAATTACAAAATGAATTTAACCGATTAAAGATCTGGTTTACTGTATATATATTTTTTAGCAGATTTTAAAAATGAATCCATTATTTATTGTCAATTAAAATAAGATGTCTCATATTATTGATATTGATTATAGAAAGTTTGAAACAGAAAATATATGCAAAATATTTTATTCACCAAGAATGGAATATATCGTCACGTGGAATCAAATCGATCATTCAATCGTTGGATGGTTAAATAATAAACTGGACAAGTTGGAACCAGAAGTATATTACAAAGCTAATTTGAAAGCAAAAAAGAATTATAAAATCATTTCTATTTCTGATAGCAAACACGTTTCAATTTTTTGGGAACGTGAGGGAATAAATTATAACGGTAAGTATATTAGAATACATAGTTCGAGGCATTTACCTAATTAAATTTCCCATGCCTTTTTTTTTTTTTTTTTAGCGTTTATCGATTTGAACGGTATCGAATATTTTTACGGAAATGAAAATAACGAAAAAATAATTGAACCGGTTATAAAAGGGGATTTTTCGTTAGGTGGATGTTATCTTTTAACCGGTGATTATCTAAGTTATAAGCAGGATCCAGAAGATAATTATGTATTCTCTCTTTATGAGGTCCATCCTGAAAATTACAAACGCAAGTCTACGTTCAAAATTTATAGGTTGGCATCAGTTTTTTTTTCTAGAATTCGTCTAGATGATTTATTATTCGATAAATTGTTTTTGACTTACAAGGACACGAGAATCCTATCACAATGGAACCTTTCTTTGGAAAACAAATTAGAAAATCAATACCCTTTAGATGTTGATTTAAGATTTTCTGAAATCAAATACTTGATCAATGAATCTTTATTGGTAATATATGGACCTGTTAAAGATGAGGATACGTATAAGATTTGTGTATATTCAGGAGAAACGAGGGTTATGATTTCACAATATAAAATGGAAAATGTGATCACTTATATTAATTTTCTTAATGTAAGAAAAAAATTATGGTTATTAATTTCGATCAAAGATTTTATCGATAATCATGATGAATACGTATTAATGAACCCATATTCTCTAACTGAGAATATAGATATTGGGCATTTATTTGCAGAGATTGATAAACCAATTTTTTTTTATGAGGAAATGGTGAGGAAGAAAAGAAAGTGTGAGAGTGAGTTAGTAATATTAAGTATTACGGGAAGTTTGGAAATCAATAAAGAGTTGGTAGAACGGAGGGAAAAAGAAGAAAATGAAGTCATGAAAATCATAACATTTAATGGGAAGAATCTATTGATCAAAGATTTTGATTATGACAAAGTTGAAAATTTGCTCACCGATCCATCGAAATATCCAATGTCCTCCGTGATAAACAATGCGTTAATAACTTTAATATCAAAGCACGATAACTTGTATAGATCACCGTCACCATCAGAGCAAATGTTATACGGAAAGAATTATGTTTGGAAATTGAGCTATAGAACAGTTGAAATTCTTCAATTTGATAATAAACCCTTTTGCAAATTCATCAATTTTCCTTATGTCGTATTTATTTGCGAAATTTTGGATGATGATTTGGTAATGGTCTGTAACCGTGGAATCATCATATGGACTTATGAATCGGCTGATAATGGCATAAAAATGAAATATTATTCGGAAAATCCTTTGTGGCTTCGTAACAATCTTTTTAATTATGAATCAATGATTTCTTGTAATGATTCCTATGAATTGTTTCTTAAACCACCAAATTTTAAGCATATTTTCAAATCAAAGGAATCAATACAAACGACCAATGGAAAATATTTTCCATTTGTTGACTTATATAAATCATATATAAATGATAAAAAAATTCTTAGAATATATTCAAAGGAAATTTTGGAATCATTTGATATCGAGGCTAACGAGATAGATGAAAAGTATAAAGCCGTTTCAGTCTTGGACAAGTACTTGGAAACCTATAATGAGAGTCCCTTTATAAATGTTGGATTCTTATATTTACTTATTAAAAAATTGCAAGATCCTAAAACCAATAAATCATTTTTATCCTTATATTTAAAGAAGATCATATCAACGGTACCAATTTTTTTAGATCAACGTCAGGATCCTTCGATTCCTATTTACTCAGATCTTTTACCGTATGTGAAGAGTTATAATATAGTCTTTTCAAATCTTTACCCCATGAAAATTTTTCATTATAACATGTTAATAATGAACTATTTATATAAATTTCAATTTTTTTCAAATTTTTTTGAAAAGATGTGGTTCTCCCCTTATATAAATTTAATGAGCTCAATAGGAATATTAAGTAAATATCCCCCAAAGTATAGTTATTGGTCAGAGCTTTTGATTAGGCCACCTTCAACCCTTTTTATAGATGAAATTATTAAAAGGAAAAGTTTTGATTTTTACAAGAGAATCGATATTCAAGCTCTCATTGACTATAAGTGGTATGTTTTTGGGATACATTATTACTTGCTCATGTGGATGATATACTCGGTGTTTTTTGGTTGCTTCACCGTCGCTGCCAGCGTATCACAAGATGCAATCGATTTCAACACCCAAAAAATGTTATTACAAATTTCTATTGTATTTGGATTCATTCAACTATATTTTGAAATCAGAGAATTTATCTGGGCTCCTTTAATATATATATTTCATATATGGAATTTTTTCGGTAAGTAGAATGAGTTAATTGGCTTTATCATTCATTTGACACATTAATAAATAAATACGTTCTAGATTTAGGAGCTTACATACTACCAATTATTACTTCAATGCTTTGGATTAAAGATGGCCAAAGTTCAACCGGGCTTGTCATATCTTCGAACTTATTATTAGAAATCAAATTCATACTTTACTTTAGACCCATTAAACTATTTGGGGTGTATTTTCAAATTATCCTAGGAGTTGCTCGACGAGTTTTTCCTTTTTTACTTATTTTAGGAGGGATCGTCCTTACATACGCACATTCTTTGCATATTCTATTAAGACCCGATTCTAACGTATCATTAGATAACTTTGTTGATAATAATGACTCAAATAATCCATGGAACCTTGTACCTCGCTTTTATTCTATTGAGAACGGTGTCATTAGCGAAACACCTTTAATGATTCTACCACCTGATTCGAATACAAATATGTTCACTTGGTTCGATACCACAGTTTTGGCCATATATTTTTATCTTACAGGTAATTATCAATGAACAATTTGCCTGTATTTTATTATTTCTTGGTCACGTCATTTATAATTTGATATTTTTAAAAATGTTTTAGGTGATTCCGGAGCATTTTCGAATCGGAGTTTACGTGAAAATTATCTTTTGATCATTTTAATGGTTACATTTTCATTCTTTACAAGCGTTTACTTGATGAATTTATTCATTGGTTTGTTAAGTAATGCGATCGAATTAGAGAACACCGAGGCAAACTTTTACCGTCAAAGAGCCGAGGTATTAGCCGAAATCGAACTTTTTTATCTATTTCCCAATCAGAGAAGATGGATTTCTTGGTTTCCTGATTGGATGTAAAGTATTAAAAAAAAAAATTCTTTTCTTTTTATAATTTTTTTTTAAATATTACTAAATTATTTGTTATCGACTATCCAGTTTTTACAGAATTACTAAGAAGGAGCTTCGGAGAATGGTTAAAAATGTAAAGGATGGAGAATGGTACGATCAAGACGAACCATTTTTAAATAATCAATTATTAGAAGAGATTGGTATGTTAGGTTCTGAAGATATCAAAGAAGGAACTTTGGCAGAATTAAGAGAACTTGCGAGAAAATTTAATGAAAATGGTTCATTACATAAAATCATAAGAGATTCTATTGAAAAATTAAAGAAAATGTTGGAATGTGTTGAAGAACGTGATGAAGGAGCACCGGAAAAGTTCAGGAAGGAAATAGAAGATTTGATTAAGGGATTGGAACAAATCAAATTACATTAATTAATTATTATATTTATTTCTATTAAACTGTAAATTTTTTTTTATTGACCGTCGGCTATGTCGTAACCAAAAAGTTATGATCCAAAATGGAAATTCCAATTTACTGTCATTACTTCTATAATGTAGTCTTAAGGATATTATCAAATATTTATTTTTTTTTTTAAAAAAAAATTCTATTGAATAAAATTTTTAACATTCAATATATATAAATAATTTACATCTAAATAAAAACACTCCTATCTAACTTATCGAGCAAATTCACAATAACATCATCCATATCATTTTTTAACTTTTCAATGTTTCTAATTTCATCTTTAATAGTCACCTGATCTGTTTCCAATGTAGACTTTCTTTTCTGATCCTTAAAAACCAAAGATTGTGCATTACTTTTTTTGTCCGTTTTATTTTTATTACTAAAATTGCTAATCGAACCGGTGTCATGAGCTTCGATGTCTTCCACATTTTTACAAATCCTATAATAACTATGTAATAACAAATTAACATCATATGTTTAATAAAATTAATACAAAAAAATTCGTATTAGCTTGCTTACATCCACTCGGGAAACCACGAAATCCATCTTCTTTGATTAGGCAATAAATAAAAAAGTTCGATCCTAGCCAACATCTCAGCCTTTTGAAGGTAAAATTTTGACACCAGTTTTTCTGATTCAATGGGGTTCCTCGATAAATTGGTGAATAAATTCATTAAATAGATGCTTGTGAAGAACGATAAAGTAGCCACTAAAACAAACAAGAGAGAATTTTCATAAAAATTCAAAACTGATGTTATATTAGAATTTTCCAAAAATAATCTAAGAATATATAAGGAATGTACAAATATGAGAGAAATTACGCCTAAAATAAGTAAAAAGGGAAGAAGCCGTCGAACAGCTTTAAAAATGACTTGAAGATATAATTCGAGAAATATAATGAATCTAAAGAATAACAAAAATTTAATTTCCAACAATATGTTTGAAAACGTAATAATTCCAGGTGAGATTGTATTATATTTAAGCCAGAGTATTGAAGTAATAATTGGAATGATATAAACTCCTAAATCTATTAAGTTAATAAAGGTAGACAAGTAATTAGCGAATTGATAAAACAAGCAAAGATACAATCAATTCATATGAGATTTACCAAATAAATTCCATATATTTGATACATATATCAAAGGATTCCAAATAATAAGCCGAATTTCAACAAAAAGTTGAATGAATCCAAATACGATAGAAGTTTCTAGGAGAATTTTTCGGGTGTGGAAATCCATGGCATCATGTGATACGCTGGCAGCGATCGTAAAGCAAACAAAAAACGCAGAATACATCATCCAGATTAAAAAGTAATAATATATCCCAAAAATATACCATTTATAATCAATAAGAGCTCGAATATCGATCCTCTTGTAAAAACCAACACTTTTTCTCCTGGTAACCTCATCTATAAAAAGGTTTGAAGATGGTCTAATCAATTCTGACCAATAATGATTTCTTTCAGGGTATTTACATAATATTCCCACCGGACTCATCAATTTTAAATAAGGTAAATACCAAATCCTTTCAAAAAAACCTGAAAGGAACCGAAATCTATTATATAAATAATTCATTTTTGACATGCTATGATGAAATAGTCTGATGAGGTAAAGGTTTTTAAAATCAATATTATAACTTTTTACATAAGGTAAAATATTTGAGTAAATAGGGACGGAAGGATCCTGATGTGCATCTAAAAAAATTGGCATCGTTAACATAACTTTCTTTAAATATAATGTTACAAATGATTTGTTTGTTTTAGAATCCTGTAACTTTTTAAAAAGTAAATGCAAAAATCCAACATTTAAAAAGGGACTCTCGTTGTAGATTTTCAAGTACTTATCCAACACCAAAACTTTTCTACTATTTTTATCGATTTCCTCGGCCTCTATATCAAATGATTCCAAAATTTTCTTTGAATATATTCTAAGCATGCGTGTATCATTAATATACGATAAATACAAGTCGGCAAATGGAAAATATATTCCATTGTTTGTTTGTATTGAATCTGTTGATTTAAAAATATGCTTAAAATTTGGTGGGTTAAGGAACGGTTCAAAGAAACCATTACTTAAAAACGACGTCTCCACATTATCTAAATTCTCATTATGAAGCCACGAAGGATTCTCCGAATAATATTTCATTTTAATGCCATCATTGGCCGAATCATAAGTCCATATGATGATCCCGCGGTTGCAGACCATTATTAAATCATCATCAAAGACATCACATAAAAATATGTCGTAAGGAAAATCGATAAATTTGCAAGATTTCTTATTCATTTGAAATATTTCAATCGTTCCAGAGCTCAACTTCCATATAGAGTTCTTTCCATGAAACTTTTGTTCTGATTGTGATTGTGATTCATAAAAGTATAATTGCTTTTTTAATGTTGCGTGCAAATTATTTAACAAATTGTTTATTTTGAAGGACATTGTAAATCTTGTTGGATTGATAATCAAATCTTTAAGCGTATTATAACTAAAATCTTTTATCAAGATCTCATTCCCAATTATCTCTATAATTTTCAAAATCTTTTCTTTTTTTCCATCCTCTCTCATCTCTATCATCTCTGCTACCTCTCCACTGATTGCCGTGATTGCCGTATTTGATACTCCACTATTTACACTTGCACTCTCGCATTTCGTGTCCTTTTTTTTTTCACTCTCACTGGCGTCCCTTTCCTTTTTTATCCCCATTTCCTCATAATAAAAAAATGGATTATTAAATTTTGATAGTAGAGGTGTAATATTCACACCTTCAGTAAGAGAATAAGGACTTCTTAATATGTGTTGTTCATAATTTTTATCCGCACCAAACAAATCTTTGATTGAGATCAATAACCATACTATTTGAAATACGTTAAGGAAATTAATATGAGTGATCTCTTTTTCCATTTTATAATCAGAGATCATAATACTTGTTTCTGTTGAGTAAACACAAATCTTAAACATATCCTCGTCTTTAACAGGTCCGTATAACACCAAGAAAGATTCGTTGATTAAATACTTGATCTCGGTTGATTTTAAATCAACATCCAAAGGATACTGTTTCTCCAATTTATTTTTTGTAGAAAGATCCCATTGAGATAAAATTCTCGTGTCCTTGTAAGTCAAAAACAATTTATCAAATAATTCGGCATTCAATAGAGGCCTAGAAAAGGAAACCGACGCCAACCTATAAATTGTGAACGTAGATTTGCATTTGTAATGCTGAGGGTTGACTTCATAAAGGGAAAAGATATAATTATCTTTTTGATCCTGCTTATAACTTAGATAATCACCGGTTAAAAGATAGGATCCACCTAACGAAAAATCCCCTTTTATAACCGGTTTAATTACTTTCCATACTCTCATTTTCTTCGATGACCATACCTTTCAAATCGATGAATACTAAAAAAAAAAAGACAAAATTTAATTTCGTGAATGAAATTTCTGGTGATGAATTTATAAAACGAATTCACACTTACTATTATGATTCATCCCCTCGTACTCCCAAAAAACTGAAACATGTTTGTCGTTAGAAACGGCAATGATGTTAAATTTCTTTTTATTTTGTAAATTAACCTTATAATATACTTCTGAGACCAAATTGTCCATGTTGTATGACCATCCGACGATGTAATGTTCCTGTGGATTCCACGTGACCACATATTTCTTATTTGGGGAACACACGATATTACTTATATGTTTGTTATTGAGCTCACCACCGCTTACTATATCTGCCATTATTGCTCTTTCTGTTATTTTTATTTTTAATTTTTTTTTTTTTTTTTCCAAGGTAAAGTTTTATTTTTTTTTTATGAACGAGAATTCTAATTAGTAATCTATTTCGGGATCTTAGGTGTGATACAAATTATCAGCCAACTTGTTTGTGACATTATTTTTTTATTTGGCTTAAAATGTAAATGTAAATATTTACATATAAATTTTTTTTTTAAAAAAATGTGTGGAACATTACACAGAATCTTTAAACTAGTTGGAAAAATCTGGTAATTATTGCGAAAACGAGACAATTCAATTATTTTTTATAAATAAATATATATATATATATACTGTATATATAGGAATATAATGAATATTCCAACTCTAAAATAATAGTTAAATGACGTATGTATAATGGGACAAAAAAAAGAAAATGCTGGGTTTGTTTTACCTAATTATGTATTACCCTAATTTATGTATGTGGCTTTTGATGGATGTAAATTCAATCTTTTTTTAACTTCATGTTAAACGATATTGTCCGTTATTTATTGCATATGCAAGTATATATAATTCACCTTTCAACACCCCACCTACAAAAACCTTTAAAGATTCCTGATTTAGTAGCTTAAAATAATAATTTATCTTAGTAATCTTTTAGCCATTTAACTATACTAAATTTTTTCGTAACCTAAGCCAATCATTTCATAATTATAAGGTTTGTTAGTGAATTTCTAAAGATTTAAATCACCTTTTTTATTTTCTTTTTTCCTTTGAAAAAAAAAAAAAAAAAAAAAAAATACCTTAAATGATTTCTGAAAAAACCTTTATTAAATATTTCGATTATAAGAAGGACGACAATAAATTGAAGAGAGTGTTCGATGACACGGATATCAAGGAAATAAACAATCTCCTACATCAGTCTTATGAGGTTTTCATAGCGGTCGTTGATGAAAAGACAAGAACGAAGGAATATTACGTTTGCGAAGGAAGGGATTGGACCGAACTCGAGATTAAATGTAATAGAAAGAACCTTCCGGGAATGAATTACAATCACAAGCTTAAAATCGTATTCAAGGTTGTCAGCTATGATGGGCTTTCTCTTCATCGACCTCGACTGGAAACCTTGAGGATGACCGATAATAAAAGTTGCGCGGGAGGAATCTCCGTGATAAACGAATCACTTAATAAAAGCTTCGACATCATTAACCATTATTTCGGTGATATAGAGAAACCTTTCCCTAATAATTTGAAACGTTCTCGATGCGATAAATTACCCTTGTTCACCTCTTGCGAACTTGATTTCAACACGTCAAAGAAAGTGAAAATCTACTTTAGTTCTTTTAACAGGGAAAATTCTAATAGTTATTATAATAGTTATCACAAGTTCAAAAGAAGGATTTTCAAAGGGGTTACATTAAGGAATTACTTCAAATGTAAATGCGAGGATAGAAATTGTTACAAAGAAGGTACTTATTTTGAATTTTGTTTTTATTTTGTTTATAAAAAAATATATTATAACATTACAAATTAAACATAACCTGTTTAGACCGATTATAAATCACTCGCCCATTGTAGAATTATTTATTATATTATTTTAAACATATTTGTTAATATTTATTACACATTAATCTTAGAAAATTTTATTTATTTTGTAATTTACACAAATTTCTTGTATATAAATAAATCTTTTTAGTAAGTGATTTTCAGCATTATAAGGATATTTTTTTTTTTCTTTCCGTGATTATTTTAATTTGTTTTATAACTATAAAAATAGAATGAGATTTGTTGCTGATAATTTCCCTTTTAAAAAAAAAAAAATTAAATTCGAAAAGCATTTGATCGTTTAGCTTTTTATTTTCGTCTTTTAGATTTATGTTTTGGATCGATCATGAACAGTTAGGTTTTAAAGGTCATGTTTCTAACATATTTCTAATAAACAATCGTATCTTGTAAATGGTATAAACCAAACTTATTTAACTTTTCATGTAATATTATTTTAGTATTTTATTTTGTTTTTCTGCTCAGTTTATAAATCTAACGAAACGAAAAGGAATGGTATCTAGGCAAACGGATTAATGACAAACCATAAACTGAGTCAATGTGCCGTATCAAATAAATATTATTTCTCTTTAATCATTCGAAATCCCAATAACGCGATATTAAATTCCTAGGGTAAATAATTTCATTATTCATTTGTATGTAATTAATTATACCATTGGTTCTTTATTCGTTATATTCCCGATTATATTTCCTTGACATGGCAATGACATTTATATTGCCATGCTATATGAGAGGTTTGCTATTAAAATCACGATACGGATCATATGATTTACTACGTTCGTAACTCGATTTTAATAGCAGACCTCCCAGATATTCGAATATCTTTTCCATATTCAAATTATGTTTTCACTTTTTCCGACATTAACAAACATATGAATGGAGTACTCAAATAACAAGGTACTCTAAACTTTTAAAGTTTTAAAAAATATAATATTCGGTACTGTACATATACTGTACATATTGATCGGCGTCAGCTGATCCTATCACTTTGCATTTCGGCGCAATATTCATAACACGTTATGTTGTAAGCGTAGATGCGTTCTAAAGAAATCTGACATGCCTATGCGGAATTTAATACTTGATATTTAAATGTTAATAAACTCGGCCATAAATATTTCTCCGCCTCCGCCGCCTTTTCAACATGCTTCTTGCATATTAATCCGATTCAATTCATTATATGGGTTAGTACGTACAAAAATCATGCTGCAAAATTTTTTTATCAAAATTGGGATTTTTTATTCATGTAAATCATTAACTTAATAAAATAACGTAAAATAACGTCGAATCCAAAAATCTCTCGAAATCTAAATTTAGATTTTGGTAATGATCGGCGATTTCTGTAGATTGTTGATTTTTTTTTAGGATCTTTTCGGTAATTTTATTTAATTTTATTTAATTTTGACAATTCGTAACCATAATCACGAAGGGTAGGGTAAAAAAAAAAAAAAAATTTTTTAAATAAATATATTAATCAAATCATTAAAATGCTTACTTTTTTCCTTTAAGGCGAGTCCTATAGGGGGAGGGGGTAAGTTTTTTTTTTTTTTTTTAGTTAAATTAATAAATTAGTATTTACTTACCTCATTCCTTTTTATAGGTGCTGGAATCTTGGATTATTCGAATTCAAAACAATTCCTATGAAGGGGAAAGGTAATATTAATAAATTAATAAATTATTTAAATTAACAATTTAATAATTTACTTACCTTTTTCCATTTTGTAGGTGCCGGAAACCTTGGTTTGATCGGATCAGGGCGAATCTATGAAAAGGAAGGGTAAATATTATTTTATTAATAAATTATTTAAATTAAACAAATTAATAATTATTTACTTACCTTTTGTAGGTGTCAGAAACCTTGATTTAATCAGATCGGAGGCGAATCCTATGAAGGGGAAAGGTAAATATTAATAAATTAATAAATTATTTAAAATAAACAAATTAATAATTTTATTTACTTACCTCTTTCCATTTTGTAGGTGCCGGAAACCTTAGTTTAATTGGATCGGAGGCGAATCCTATGAAGGGAAAAGGTAATTTATTTTAATCGATTAAATAACAAATTAATAAATACTTACCTTTTCATTTTTGTAGATGCCAGAATTCTTGGATTGATCAGGTCGGAGGCGAGTCCTATGAAAGGGAAAGGTAAATATTAATAATTTAATAATTAATAAATTAATAATTTATTTACTTTTTCCTTTAGATGCCGGAATCCTTGGATTGATCCGATTGGAGAGGCTTCTAATAATTTTTTTTTTATTTTTGAAATCATCGTTCTTTTTTTTTATAATTTTAAATTTTATTATTTATTTATTTTATTTTTTGTAATGACGTTAGTTAAATCTTTTTCAGAATATATTTTTTTTTAATATTCTAAGTTATTGTTCACGTATATAAATAAATTATCATTTTAAAAATTTTTAATTTATTAAATTTTTATTAACGACCAAAAATGTCTTTATATACAAAAAAAATTTAAATATCTTCATTATTACTATTACTAGTAGGAAGAGGACATAAAACATCTTTAAATCTTCATCTTTAAATTCTTCATCAACATACTGACGAATTTTGTTATACAAATACCATTGACGTTTTGTATTAAGAATAGAAGGAAGTTGATTGAAATTACAATTATTATTAAAAGAAGAACAAATGGAACTTCTTCACCTCCTGATTCTTTAGAACAATAAACCTTGCCTAATTCTGACTTAGAAAATCGAAAATGATAATATTTTATTATTCCTTAAAGTCCTTTAAAATGTGGTGAAAGAAATGATGTAAAATCATACCAAATCCAACCCAATCCTTCATTATATCTTACTGCTTTATTTGCAGTTGTAAATATATTAATTATCTATTTAACATCATTTACTGTATTAATTTTATTTTTATAATAAAGTTTTTTAAAATTTCTAAATACCCATTACAGTAGTATAATAATGGGCTTTTTGGCACAAAAAAAAAGAACGATGATTTCAAAAATAAAAAAAAAATTATTAGAAGCCTCTCCA